TGACTTTATCAATTCGAGTGTTAGATTGAATTGAGGGCTTTTTAGACACTTGATTTCTTATATGGCATCACTATGAAGACGTAATAGAACTGATACACCTACACTACATAGGATTAACAATGTCTGTTGCGCTGTTGCGAGAAGGAGGATAATATTACCGGAAGTGTAAACTCTTTTTAAAAAGAGTTTCAGAGACGTTTCAGAGATGTCTATCTTTGATCGGCTGTCACAAAAAAATGACCCCCACTTAAATTTACCAGGAAAAATGAACTTACCAACTCCTTGTTGAAAAAATTGGGATTCATTTGACCGATACGCCGGTTGTTCCAATTTTGCTTTTTCCTCGGGCTCCTATAAAACAGTTCATGACTAATGAATAAAATGTTTTGAAATACCGTTCGGAATTTGCCTTTATTTTCTGCGTGCAAATCAAGGGTAGACAAAGTTTTTAAAACATTTGACTAGAATTTCATGGAGTTCACCTCGATAATTTTCATCGGCCAGAGTCAAGACGCGCCAAGGTAAGCGACACCGCCCTCCAGTAAAATAATTTTCCAAAGAATAAACGTGGCGAGCGTGAGGAAACGCACATTTTTTTATCATTGTGATCAAAGCCCAATGATGTACCTAAATTGGTACTTACGGTATCAAACCATTGATTATGACAGGGTGAGCTTAATTTTTCTGTCGAGGTCGACGTGACTTCACATGAAAAGCGTTTTTGACGGAACAAACTAGTGAGCATCACTGCACGAACTGAGAAAGTAAAAACTTGTATTTATCTCCCACGCATTTCGTCTGACAATAGTAGACTTTATCAAGGATTTTTTCAAGTAGGGTAGACAAGCTTGCTCATATACAAGTAGTAAATAAGTTGTCTCTTTGCTATTGAAGCCAGTGGATAGAATTCGCCAGGTGCGCCTACGATGTTATACATGCGTGACATTTTCCGGACGTTACATGTACGAGTACGTGATCCATTTGAGGGTCACAGATTTAGTGTAAATATTTCACCCTTCAACATCACGCAATGTCTCTAGTTTACAGAAGTCTTAGAACGTTTAATTATATGGAGTTGCCTTCTGCAGGTAGAAGGCTACAAGCGAATTTCTCAGGCGTCATTGCCTTTGATTTCTCAATTGATGTTGTCGCAAACACAGTTTTTGGGAGTCACGAGACAAAAAAACTTATCAGGACCTAGTTTCATGTTCTAATGGAAATAAATAGCAAATAAAAACACATTTTCTTGAGAAATAAAGTTACAAATGACGGGGTTCTCTGAAACAAATAGTGATAAAAAAGGATTTCAGTTCTGGTCAATATTGACTTTTCATGGCCTACTTCCAAATCTGAGGGAACGTGCTGAGGGAATAAAAAAACATAAATGTGTGATAATGCAAGCAAGAGAGTGAAAATCCAAATGAAGAAAAAACGTGTTGCAGCGTGCAGATATCTTTTGAGCCAGACCTACACACCTAAGCCCGACACCACCCAGAGAAACTCGAAAGAGTCCTGTATATGAACTAGCTCGCACGTGCACGCAGGAAAGGCCATGACAATCAGCGAAAATAATAGCAAATGCAGATGATATTTGCAGTCAAAAAACAGGAAAATAAGATAACAGAAGGATTAGGAACCTCCTAGAATTTCCTTCTTGAAAAAAAAAAGATGAACAATTTTTACTTCTCATGAAAGGTCACGCAGTAACCCTACAAATACTATTCCTTTACGTGGAATTTCTTGATGGTGGAAAGTGGAAAAAACATTTCCAGTCTTATTTTCTGGAAACATGGCGTAGTTAATGAATTTATGGGGCTATTAATATTTCCTAACAAATAAGGGGGGGCAGAGTTTCCCGTCATTCGCGGTAAGGAAAAGCCGAAGTTGTTACACTCGGGAACTTGTGCGTCAACAAGCAGGCGACATGTGACTTTAAAATCTCCTTTCCTGTTACAGTTTCCTTATTGTAAACTGTGCGATAATTATAATAGATGATCAAAGTAAAGGCTAGTGAATGTTTTGTTCTGTAGAAGAGCCCTATGTCCTGAATTTAGCAAATCTTCAAAGTAATAAACGACTGAAGAAAGAAACGCAACGATTTTCCCATTGATTTTTCATCAACATGCATCTCTCTAAACGTGAGATTTTCCATTCCTACAAAAAATCTCGAAAGTTTTTCACATTTTTCACCTTTCTTGATCAATCATCTTGTATAAAGAGCTAAAAAATGTTGGTTTATTTCGTCAAGTGACCGCCTAGAGCAAGAAGTGCGTGACAGGTGTAGTTGAGAGAAACTTGTCACAGTCGCAGATTTTAAAAGGTATCCAAGACAAAAATACGGTAGTGTCCAAAGATTTTTTTGATGACTTTCAGAGATGAAATGATGGGTTATAAAGGGTAATTAAGATTAGTGTTGTAGCTTTCTGGCAACGGGAGATATTTGACCTCAAAGTTGTAAAATATTTAGATGAATCGAAAAGTCTAAAAACACAGTCGTATATTTGCCTCTGTTGATTGACAAGCCGTCAATCAAACTGACTGATACTCGCGGCGGCCATTAACTAAGGATGTAAAAATATGTGTGCAAATCCTCAAAGTAATCGGTTAAATACCATCGCAGTGAGAGCTTCATACAATTTACCTATTTGAAGCGATTTCCTTGGTGAAAACCAAGAAAAACCGGGGGGTGGTCTATCTCCCCCCGGAAAAAACTAAAACAGAAACCAGTTTGTCTTTTTGAGTTTAGGGGTAGACCCGACTAGCAGTAGCACGACTGCCCGGTGCTCACGTGGACACGCTCTTAACATATTTGACACCTGTGACTCGTTGAACTTAAGGAACTAAAATATTCATGCTGAAATTTTGCTTTGCTCATCATGATTAATGGAAAGTATTGGCGTAGCAGTCAAGAACTGGATTCAAATGTACATCAGGGTGGTCTCGACCTCTTAATTAAAGTCAATTGAGACAAGATTTAACTCCATTTAACCTCATTTAACCTTAGAGTGTTGAGTTCTTTTTTTATTATTATTTAATTATTAATAAATCTGCTGGATACTCGCAGCAGACATTAACTAAGGATGTAAAAATATGTGTGCAAATCCTCAAAGTAATTGGTTCAATACCATCGCAGTGAGAGCTTCATACATTTTACCTATTTGAAGCGATTTCCTTGGTGAAAACCAAGAAAAACCGAGGGGTGGTCTATCTCCCCCCGGAAAAAACCATTTCATTGAAATCGGTGAGATGGCATGTAGCACGACCGCCCGGTGCTCTCGTGGACACGCTCTTAAGTCACTATCTAGCTGTTTTAGAAAGAAGGATCAGGACTTACCTAACTCTTAGTGTTTTTGTGGGAGTTGTTGATCCCAATTTAAGTGTTCTTAGAAGTTTCAGTTGTCTGTAAAGCTAAATAAATCTAACTGAAACCTAATAGGGCCTGTTTATTCTTTTCCGTTTAGTTTTTTTGTTTTGTTTTGTTTTGTCTTTTTTTTTTCTTCTGGTCTGTAATAATTTCAATGGTTTCAGGTTCTTTTCTCAGAATTGAGCTACAGTAATAATATGCTTCTTTGTGTTGTTGCCTACAGGAGCCACTGCTTGTGTTGAATTGAAGAGATTTGAAGAAGCAATCACTTGGTGTGATAAGGGACTAGTTGTATCCTTTGAAGGAATCTTTCATTTTTTAACCGTCGGTATAATGGAAATAGTTTCCATAATTTGATGTTTCAAGGGAGAAAATACAAAGAAGGGTATTAATTATGATGGGAACTTGTCAGCTCATATACTTTAAGTGTGTGTGATTAAAAACATAGGAGAAGTTATTAATGAAATTACTCCTTTTAGCCAATTTGACTTAGTTATACTATCCATGCCAACAACTGGTACATTAGATTAAATAACCCTTTAATTTCCCAAGCCAAATTTGTAATTATCCTTACTGTCAACCATATAATTCTTGTAACGTTAGTACAGAGAATTCAGTATTGCATCAACTAACTATTTTCAAATTTTTAATTTTTTTTACTCTCAACACTTATCTGATTGATATTGTATTGCTATTGTAAGGAGAAATTCTCTTTTGGTCACTCACGGGAGTTAAAGGGTTAGAAGACTAATATTCATCCAGTTTATACATGGTACTTGGGTAGATGATCTCTCTAAAACAAGCCAGAACAAAAAGCTCGGTAATGTTTACATATCTTATGCAGATTTTCTTGCCTTCGACCTTTTTCCACTACTTAGAGACTCGGAAACTTTCGTCCTGCTTTCCTATCGACAAATAAAAATTTTAAAGACATGTATTTGTGTTGTAGACTCATTTCTTCCACTGTTGTAAAACATTTGTCTGATGTTAAAGCTATATTAATTAAAAAATTGAGCAAGTGCTGCTCAGTTTTTGGAAACTAGGGATTAAATGTAGATATTTCGCGTTAAATTTTGAGGCTGCACACAGAAAAAACATTTTTTGAAGTGTAGATTTACTTCATAACTGACTTTAAGACTGAATGTTGATAAATCATCTACCTTTCATGCAAAGCCCTCCTAATGGGCCATTTTATAGTTGTGTACTTAGTTGCCAAGCCTTTGATGTTTGGAGTGAGGCTGAAGGTGACCTTGTTGTGATAGAGACTGGTATCTAGAAACGATAATAACAAAGTAGTTTGCATTTAAAAAGCAGCAATGTTTTTATCATAACAAGGTCACCCTTAATCATCCCTCTTGTTCAGAGGCTTGGTAACCAAGCACACAAATGTTAAAATGGACTATTACATATCAATATGATAAGAAACATAATCTTTTTTGTTTTTTCCACATTTTTAACCCTTAACATAAAAAAGATTGACAAAAACAACAGGATCTTGTTGTCATTAAGACTTCAGTCTTTCAGTGAAGTGGGAGATACGTCCATGGAGGAAAAAGATCCTATTAGTCATGACCATGAAAATGCAAGTTCAGGTGATGTCAAGAAAGTCATAGATCTCTATAATCGGGGAGAAGAAGCCATAGAGTACCTCAACCTATATCTTAAAAAAGCTAAAGAAGTAGGAGACAAGCATGAGGAGGGTAACGCTTATGGCAGTCTTGGCAATGCTTATGGCCATCTGGGTGATTTCAAAAAAGCCATAGAGTACCAGAACCTACATCTTAAAATAGCTAAAAAAATAGTAGGAGACAAGCATGGGGAGGGTGGTGCTTATGGCAATCTTGGCAATGCTTATTTTAGTCTGGGTGATTTCAAAAAAAAATAGCTAAAAGAAGTAGAGTACCACAACCTACATCTTAAAATAGCTAAAGAAGTAGGAGACAAGCGTGGGGAGGGGTAAACGCTTATGGCAATCTTGGCACTGCTTATGACATTCTGGGTGATTTCAAAAAAGCCATAGAGTACCACAACCTACATCTTAAAATAGCTAAAGAAGTAGGAGACAAGCATGGGGAGGGTAAAGCTTATGGCAATCTTGGCACTGCTTATCACATTCTGGGTGATTTGAAAAAAGCCCTAGAGTACCACAACCTACATCTTAAAATAGTTAAAGAAGTAGGGGACAAGCATGGGGAGGGTAACGCTTATGGCAATCTTGGCAATGCTTATCACCGTCTGGGTGATTTCAAAAAAGCCATAGAGTACCATAACCTACATCTTAAAATAGCTAAAGAAGTAGGAGACAAGCATGAGGAGGGTAACGCTTATGGCAGTCTTGGCAATGCTTATGGCCATCTGGGTGATTTCAAAAAAGCCATAGAGTACCAGAACCTACATCTTAAAATAGCTAAAGAAGTAGGAGACAAGCATGGGGAGGGTGGTGCTTATGGCAATCTTGGCAATGCTTATTTTAGTCTGGGTGATTTCAAAAAAGCCATAGAGTACCACAACCTACATCTTAAAATAGCTAAAGAAGTAGGAGTCAAGCGTGGGGAGGGTAACGCTTATGGCAATCTTGGCACTGCTTATGACATTCTGGGTGATTTCAAAAAAGCCATAGAGTACCACAACCTACATCTTAAAATAGCTAAAGAAGTAGGAGACAAGCGTGGGGAGGGTAACGCTTATGGCAATCTTGGCAATGCTTATGGCCGTCTGGGTGATTTCAAAAAAGCCATAGAGTACCACAACCTACATCTTAAAATAGCTAAAGAAGTAGGAGACAAGCATGGGGAGGGTGTTGCTCATGGCAATCTTGGCAATGCTTATTTTAGTCTGGGTGATTTCAAAAAAGCCATAGAGTACCACAACCTACATCTTAAAATAGTTAAAGAAGTAGGAGACAAGCGTGGGGAGGGTGATGCTTATGGAAATCTTGGCAATGCTTATGACATTCTGGGTGATTTCAAAAAAACCCTAGAGTACCTCAGCCTACATCTTAAAATAGCTAAAGAAGTAGGAGACAAGCGCGGGGAGGGTAACGCTTATGGCAATCTTGGCAATATGTATCGAACTCTGGGATATTTGATAAAGGCCAACAATTATTACCAGCTAATGCTTAAAATTGCGAAAGAAGTAGGAGACAAGCGCGGGGAGGGTAACGCTTATGGCAATCTTGGCAATATGTATCGAACTCTGGGATATTTGATAAAGGCCAACAATTATTACCAGCTAATGCTTAAAATTGCTAAAGAAGTAGGAGACAAATCCTTAGAGGCCAAGGCCTACTATTCAGTAGGATGTGTTTTTGAGTCGCTTGGTAGACTGCCTAAAGCTGTTGTTTATTATCAAGCTAGCATAAACTTATACAATTCCTTAAGAGTACTTCTAAAATCTAAAGATGAGTGGAAAGTTCATTTTCGAAATCAGTATCAGATGGCGTATACGGATTTGTGCAGAGTTCTTGTAGAACAAGGTAATATAGATCAAGCCTTACTTGCTGCTGAGCAAGGACGAGCTCAAGCTCTGACCGACCTTATGGAATCCAGTTTTTGTGGTGGAGCAAGTCAGCACAGAGGCGATGAAGATTTAGCAGTTTATGAAAACGTTCCATCAAACACCGTCTTTCAGGCAGTGGACAAAGCTGACGTCAATCTTTGGGTTGTGTCCGAAGGAAAACAAGTTCAGTTAAGGCAAAGTAAACTTAATAATTCTGTTTCAGGGAAAAAAGAAGCTAGCCAGTCCCTCGAGGCGTTCGTGCTCGGTGCTTGCGAGAATCCATCTTTGGATGCTTTGAGTACTTTGTATGATATCGTTATGAAGCCGGTGGCTGACCTGGTTCAAGGGGATGAGCTAGTCATTATTCCCGATGGACCCCTGTGGCTCGCTCCTTACGCTGCATTGAAGGATGGTAATTCTAAATACCTGTGTGAATCGTTCAGAATCCGACTCGCTCCATCGTTAGCAAGTCTTAGACTCATTGCCCATTGTCCAGATGATTATCACAAAAGCAGTGGTGCGTTTCTTGTAGGAGATCCGTGGGTATCCGAGGTTACTAACAGCGAGGGAGAGAAAGTCCTCGAGCAGATTCTGTGTGCTAAAGAAGAAGTAGAAATGATCGGAAAAATTCTGAATATCACGCCAATCACTGGCAGACAGGCCACGAAGCGTGAGGTGTTGAAAAGACTCGGTTCCGTTTCCTTAATTCACTTTGCGGCACACGGAAGCAAGGAAAATGGCGAAATTGCTCTTACACCTGATCTAGACCGAATATCTTCTGTGCCGACGGAGGAGGATTACATTTTAACAATTGGAGATGTGTTGAATGCTCAAATTCGCGCCAAACTTGTTGTGCTTAGTTGCAACTACAGTGGTCACGGCGAGATCAAGGCTGAAGGTGTGGTTGGTATCGCGCGCGCTTTTATGGGGGCTGGTGCTCGGTCTGTTTTGGTGTCCCTGTGGGCGATTGATGACGAGGCTACTCTCGAGTTCATGAAAAGCTTTTATCAACACCTTGTAGAAGGTAAACCTGCAAGCGAGTCACTGAACCTGGCCATGAAAAGTCTCAGAGAATCAGATGAGTTCCACGACTTCAGATACTGGGCGCCCTTTTCGCTGATTGGAGATGACATCACTCTTGACTTCAATGCAAAGGAAAGAGAAAATTAAAATGTAAAATCATATAGATAAAAAATTGCCTTTTTTTTCATCTCAAAAAGAACGACGCAGGAACTTGGAAGGTTGAAATGTTTCTCTATTTCGGCAATTTTGTGTTATTTTTCATTACTCTTAGTTTACTTTTTCGTTAAATGGAACTTGAGATGTGTAACTTTACTTTGGTGAAGAAATAAAGAGACTGTTTTATTATATTTTGATCAGTGGAATTGTCTTTTTTTGTTACCTTTACAAATGCAAATGCTCGCGAAGAGAACGAAATGCAACAAGGCTTCGGTTAAGAATACCTGCAGTAGTTGAAGGCGATTACGAGGTTTCCGTTTTCGCCAAAATGACACTCAGCTCTATTCCTGTATTACAGTCAGTTGTATGGAAAACAATTTAATGGTTTTTTTCTTGTGCATAACCAGGAACTTGTCCACCTGGTTTTAATTACATTTATATTGTAAGTTCTAGATAACCAAAGAAACAGTTCGTTATTTGCAAAAGTTGGCGAAATTTTAAAAAAATTTATTTTCATTTTCAAATTTTTTTCCTTCAATTGTGAAGCAGTCTAATTTTATTAGTGCCAAGATTGCCACTCTAAGCTTAATTTGATGAAGTAAACATCAGAGATGATGTTATTGAATTTACTGTCCATATGTCAGAGACATTAAACCCACTTTTAGGGGTGTAGCCAGCCTTTAGTCCTGTAGGCCCGGCCTACCATTGTTTTCCGCCTGCTTGACTTTTGTAATATGACTCTTGCAAATGTTGAAACAAAAATTGAATTTTCTTAGGGAACAGGCCCACGGTAAGTCAAAAAGCTGGCTACAACCCTGCTTTTAACCAAACGAGTTTCGTCAATTTTAGTCTGTTTTATCAAACACTTATCTGTTCGTTTTAAAAAAAACGACGACAGAGAGGTTAAAAATTGTCCATGTAATCTAAACAAGGAAACAGCGAAGAGGATTCACTGTAACTGAAGTTTTCTATAGCTGCGACTTTTAATTTATATGACATGGAAGTTGTTGTTTCAAGTAGGAAATTATTTTACGCCCACAAATCACAGAAGCAATGAAAGTAAGCCCTGTAATCCTCAATGGGAATTGTTTTGGTGAAAAGGTTCATAAACAATTGTAAATCTAGTCCTCAGTTGAAAAGGTTCAGGGCTTCAGGACAAAACTTTCAATTTTTGAATATTCCCTATTCAAACTTTTTCCATTGCTCTAAATTTAGCGTAGTATAATTGAAGATGTCTGATCATTAACATCTTTCTTAGATTTAAGAATTTATACATAGGTATTCAAAGAATGCTTTAATTAGAACCCGTTGTGTGGTCAAAAGTTTGAGATATACTGAATCATAGCTGTTTAGAAGAAATTTTTGTAAAATCAATCTTAATTTAGCAGATTTTCGCAACTGCCATTGGTATATGCTGGTATAAAATTTAATAGTAAACCTCGGACATGGTTGAATATGATGTAACGTAGGATTTTAAAAACAAGTTGGGACAATTTTAATTGAGCATGCTTTGTATAATGTCAGTGTATTTCATGTGAAGTGTTTTGATGTATTTTTATTCACAGTTAAAGATAATTATTCATTTACCTTAGTTTAATCAACTCATGAACACCCAAGTTTGATAAATTCTCCCAACTGATAAGAATGTATTTCTTTGTTGCTTCATTCCGAGAATTCAATGTGACATTACGTTTCTATCAAAAAATTATCCTCAAGTTAAGATTTTCTCTAATTCTTATTGACACCACGTGTTTTGCTGTGTTAATACTGTGAGGAGAAAATTAAATTATGATCAGTCTTGGTAGTAAATGGGTTCATTTTAGTGTCTCCGTTCAGCACGTATTTTACTTTAAGCCTTGACAATTTAATGCAGTTTCTACTATACTTATTTTTTATTTCTTTGTGTAAGAGAAATGTAAAGTGTAAAAATTACAAAAACTACGTTGATTTTCATTGTCTGTCTTCATATTCCAAGGATTCACGTGAAATGCAGAGAGATTAGATCCTATGGGGACTTCAATGCTTGTTTTGACCTGCGCGCGCCTATTTGATTAAGTGTACAGCTGATAGTCAAGCCCCTACCCACTTAACAAACGCGAGTCGTCTCTTTGATTTTATCTCTTCCACTTCTACGGTTTTGACGGACGTGTTCATACTGTTCATACTGTTACATGTATGCGCCTTTTTACCTTTTTCCTCACACAAGTTTTTACACCTTTTCACATTTGCGCGTCTCTTCTTTTGTTCTTCCTTTTAACAATAATCAAGAAAGGATAAGTTACTATTAATAGTACTTAGAGAGATAGTCGATAACAACTTGAGAGATTCATTATGAGCAAACGCGTTCCATCGATTATTGGACTCCATGTGTCCTTACATCGTAGAATAAACTCGAATACGCACGCCTATATGCCTCTCTCCTCCCTACCTTCAATACCAGTATACATCCCTCTACTTCAACCTTTATCATTATACAGCACAATACAACATTCTACCCCTGAGTAACACTGTAAATCCGTAAAATGCAATAACTTCACAGCGCTTCACAACCATATGTACCCCTAAATAGCCATATGCTTCCCTCTACCGAATTTCACATCACCATACAGCGCTATATAAATAATTTCTCCAATTTGGCGCGAAAATGAGTACGGATAGTTGTCCGCGGACATTGGCCGAATTTATACTAGAGACGAGTTATCCGTCAGAGACGAATCATCCGTCTCAGACGGATAACTCGTTTAAATATAAATTCGGTACTAAGACGAATTATGGAGCAAAATTCGTCTCAGGCTGATCCGTCTGACAGCACGTCTTCAAGACGTGCTAACAGACGGATAGCTCGTCTTAGACGGATCATCCGTCTCTAAATTTTTATCTAGACGGAAAACGAAGACGGTTTTTGACGAAGTTTCCATATGAGAGAGACTGGTTTCTATAGTTTTGCAAGGTTTCCTGGGATGCCTATTTCAAGATGGCGTCCGGTAAAGTAATCGTGCCCTCGAAAGCAATCACAAAAAAGAAGGAGAAAGCAAACAAGAAGTTGACTCGAAGTCTTTTTTTAAACTGCGACTCCGACCAGTTTTGAAGGCCGTCCTCCCACCATTTCTTGTTTCTTATCTCATCTCTACTTCTTGTCTTCTTATCTTGAGCAAGATTTGCGAGAGAAAAGGGTAACATGAAGTTCATTAAGCTATTTTCCGGCTCAAACATGCGCTTGACAGAGGATATTCTTCTCTGATATACCGCCATATCCAATGCTTTTCTTCTCGATTTCATCAACAAGGCTACGAGAGCCGCCATATTTAAGCTCTCGCCAGGCTTCCAGCGATTGCAAAGGGCTAACGCTCGAAACGTGAGCTTTCAATTTACGTAATTAACTCAGATGATAATGCTAACTTATCCAGAATTGAATTAAGTTTGAAAAGAAGACTTATCGTGGTGGATGTAAGGTTTTCAAATTTGGGAATATCGCTTGGGTAATATTCTCGGATATCACCCAGTTTTAGCTGGGGATATTCAGTCGCTTGCTGCGTTTAGACCAATCGCGCACGAGCAAAAACAATTGATGGATCATGAACAGCGATATGTACCCCTAGATAGCTCTATACTTCCCTCTTCTGCAGTTTACATTATTATACAGCGCTATACAACAATATGTAACCCTAAGTAGCCTTGATCGGCATAATAGAATACATACATCGAAATCTTCCAGCCTCACGCGCCATGTTTTATTTCTTTTTCCAAAGTTCATTAAATACTCGATGAAAACCTCTACGGCGTTTAAAGAAAACACAGTATTTTCCAGCGCAGTCATGACTCGTCTGACGTGGAGATACAGAGATCGAGAGTTGATTACGGCTTCAAGTTTCAAACTCTTAAAGGCGGGAAATATGTCTCGAACTCTTGGATTGGACTCAAAAAGTCTGAGACAAAATCATTTATGAACATCGTTATCAATTCTGAATAATTGAAATTCGATTCAGATTTACTTTAGATGCAGTGCACACAAATCTAATAAAAGGACTGTTAAAGGGCTATGAAAGGAACTAGTCAAATTCAGACTCAAATGTTCACTCTACGTTCCAGTGCTGTTGTCAGCGGATGTCTTTAATGTACCTAACGAATTTTCTTAATAGCAACATTGAACATCAATGTCATTTGAGAATTTTTTGATAATTCTGAAATATATTAATTCTTAATAAAATATATCAAACCGAAAAATTTTAATAGCTTTTACATCTAAAATTATCGAAAGCTGTGACATTCGGATATGAATTACAAGTTCTTTGAGGTTATAATTCAGGTCGGCAAGTAGTTTTTCTTTTAGGTAGAGGTTCAACTTCTGCCTCAAAGAAAAATTATTTCTCATCTGCCGACCTGAATTCTCAACACTCAATAAACGTAATGAACTCGTATGCTCATGCTCCCACAGAAACAAAGCGTTACTGCGTAGCAATTGAACAACTAATTTTAACTTACCGCCACGCCTATAATGCAAATTTGTAAAGTGTATAACGATGGTTTATATACTTTACAAATATAAATATATCTTTAACTATCTATCTATCTATCTATATATCTATATATATATAAATGTAGGGGTAGAGTCTACCTTGGCATAAAGTGCTCAATTCTGTGGTAGCAGAAATAAGTATACATAAGTTAAAGAATTAAAGAGGACGCATCGATTCTCTGTGACTAAGTTTCGCACCTAAACGCTCGTCAGACAGAACTTTTAACTTGTGTATATATATATATATATGTATACATATATTTATTAATATAATAAGCTCAGTTATGCACGCATTCTGATTGGTTCTCACCTATGATCTATTGGAGGACAGACGTATAGATGACGTCATCTTTAAAACTATTTTCCGTCTATTTTAATTCTTCATTATATAAAACAAATAGATTCCAAGTTGCCGTGCGTCTCTTCAATAATAGATCACAGAGGACGTCGAGGTCACGATGACAGGTGTTCGTTA